AGCCCACTGAAATGCACACTTTCAGGTGTGTGGGTGAATTGTATGGCATGCAGATTATATCTCAATAAAGCTATTAATAAAAACAAAATGAAGAGAGACAATAGCAGGCTGGATATGCAAGAATTATGCAAGCTGGAATCTAGTTCTAAGGGGCCCAAACTGGCTCTAGTGGCCCAACCTGTGACCCTTTCTAGGCAATGTCAAATTGCTAAAAGGGTAAATATTTACAGAGAATTGGTAAGCTTTTGGAGTAATGTGCAACTTTGGAATGCTGTGAAAACACAGTTGCTTATTGCCCATAGCTGAAACACAGAGGTCTGCATAGAAGAGCTAGAAGTTAGAGGACATGGCTTCACTGATGTTCATACGGAATAGGCAGCTCTGACTCTAGTTAGGCAAGGCCTTTGTACAGTGCAGAGATAAATTCATGCAGAGACTCAAGGACTCTATCCCAGACATGCTGTACTTAGCTTCCTGTTCTGACAAGAAGCAGTGGGAACAATCATGCTGGAAGATCCATGAGGATCGCCCCGTGCTACCAGACCACCTCACAAAGACGTCTACTAATATCTTCTCTAAGACAACTCATCCCAGTAGGGACAAATTGACATTAGACAGCTTCTCCAGGGTAAGAGGAAGTGATCAGTGACTGTTCTGTAACCAACACAATCCTAGATAAACTGTAAAGCTAGGCTGGAACCAAATCTAAAGTACTCTTTTAGCCATTCTGCATGGACGTTATGGGTTATAAATATACCTAGTAATACTGTTTATTTTCTGAATGACCTGAAGCAGTCCCTTGCTGAAAAAAATAATAGCACTCATAAGGGCCAAAATGTTAGATTTTGTGTTCCTTATTTTGGGTCTTCCAACTTATTTATTTAGTAATATGTGGACACATTTTGTTGGGAGGAGTCATTTATAAATTACTCAGAAGTTTCCTTGTCTTTATTACCCCTACTCTTTTGGAAAAACAGAAGTGATTTTTTTCAGAACTGTGAAGTTACCATTTAGAGATCTTAACCTGAGGTTCTTCAAAGAACTTCTAGAAGGAGTATACAGAAATCTCTTGTTACCTAAGATCCTACATAAAGTGGAAAGCTTTTGCCCAAGACCATTCTCTTAGATGTCTCTAACTGCTGATTTCCATACCCTCCTTTGTATACTTTTGTTCTTTATTCTTTTGGTCATGTTTTCCCACCCTAGAGATTTAAGGTTATACATTTCTGACTTAACCTATCACATTTCTTTTATAAATAATAACTTACCTAGATCTAGGCTTTACTAGGCATAACCACTATCCTAATTCTATAAATCAGCTCTTCCAAGCTACAGCTAGTGTGACTAGCACGAAAAGTGATATTTAGTATGTTACTCGAATCTTACTAATTATTATTATGTTGAGACAGGGTTTCACTCTGTTACTCAGGCTGGAGTGCAGTGGCATGATCTTGGCTCACTGTACCATCAAACTCCTGTACTTAAGCAATCCTCCTGTCTTAGCCTCCTGAGTAGCTGGGACTACAGGCATATGCAACAACACCTGGCTAATTTTTCTTTTTCTTTTTTTTGTACAGAAGGGGTCTTGCTTTGTTGCTCAGCTGCTTTTGAACTCCTGGCCCTAAGTGATCCTCCTGTCTTGGCCTCCCAAAGTGCTAGGATTACAGGTGTGAGCCACCACACCTGGCAGAACCTTATTTATTATGATTTTCTTGGTCAGACACGGTAGCTCAAGCCTATAATCCCAGCACTTTGGGAAGCCGAGGCGAGAGGACTGCCCATGGGTTCGAGACCAGCCTGGGCAACTTGGTGAGACTTGCTGAGCCCAGCAGGTCGAGGCTCCAGTGGCCATGAGCGTGCCACTGCACTCCAGCCTGGGCGACGGAGTGAGATTCCAACTTAAAAAAAAATGATATCCTTTTTAGATAACAAATTAAAAAAAAGGAAAATGCCCTTGTACTGGAAGAGGCAGATTCAGCCATTCTTGCAATGTATCTCTGTTAAGCTCTACTAAGCTCTCTCTCTCTCTCTCTCTTTGTTTTTTAGATGGGGTCTCACTATGTTTCCCAAGCTGGCCTCAAAATCTTGGGCTCAAGTGATCCTCCTGCCTCAGCTGCCCAAGTAGCTGGGACTACAGGCATGCGACATCATGCCCAACTAGCTCACACCTTAAGCTTATATGGAAATCTGCCTCATTACTGCCACTGCAGGACCGTTCAAGTATATGACTGTGGAGGCTAAAACAAGTACATCCTGGATGCTAATCCACCATGTTGACTGTTGATTGACCCCGCTTCTGGGTATGCCGCTAAGATTTCACTTTCAGGTACTTACTGTAAATCCTGCTCTTAGGTCAAAACAACCTTGATGTTATCTCAGAAGTGTTGCCTTTAGGCACATGTGTGCCTTTCTGAGGGGATGACTTCAATTGTCCCACATATACCTTCCCTCTGGTATATTAGCCCTGAGTCTGGAGGGTAACAGCATGGGGACCTACCACCTCTCTGATCTCCCTGCTGCCTGGGACATGGCATCTGTTCCTGAGTCCCCATCAAATGTTTCTTTTTGAGAAACTGGATTTGTCGGCCTCTTTCTTCAGCCTCTCAGCTTCCTTGGCCTTTAGGGGTAGGTTAGCATAGACATGCTCACCTCAGAACTATGACCCCGATCCTCCCCATCACAGTATCTTCAGTGAACTACACTTTCTTGCAAAGAATCTGAGTCTTCCTAGGGGAATAACTTACTGGTGAAATAGACTGCTGAGGATATTAAGCCCATCCATAGGAATCGGATAACTCGGATAACTCGGTGTGGTCATCAAGAAGCTTCCCCTTCCTTTGGGTGACATCATGGGTGGGGACGTGGGTGAGACAAGGAGGGGCACAAAAACCAGTCTGACTTGCTAGCCCAAGTCGCATCGATAATAGTACAATCCTGCATTTTCTTTTAGCCAACCAGGGAGGGTCTAAAAGACCAGGTGTTGCTGGAGCCTCAGTTCGAGCCTAGGTTCATAGCAGAGGTCAGGTGGAATGATGCATGGCAGGGCTAAAAGAAAAAGCCACCTGAATACCTCAGGTAGACTCTGGAGTTGCTAAGACTTGTTTTCTTCATCAGGCTTGGGAAGCCTTAGGTCGTGGGTCTGGAGAGCCTTCCAGTGCCTTCTCACAATATCATCAGTTACACTTGTTTTTCTCAGTCATCCCATGTCTGCTGTCCAGAATATTAAATGCTTTTATGTAGCCACAGTCTCAGCAGATGACTTAAAGATGAAACATGGGGTAAAATCACACTGGCAGCAGTGAAGATGTGGACAAGCCCTGATGGCCTCTTCTATACCTCTGAGTCAGGAAGGACTAAAAGGGGGACTGAGAAAAATAAAAGAAAATGAAAAACAACCTACCTTCCCATATCCCTAGAGAAAGACTGCCAGTCCCACAGCTATGGCAACAGGTAAATACCAGGACTAGTGTGGCCCCAGCGGGTCAATGACATCCACTGTCGTAGGCTATACCTTGGAAGGCAATTAATTGATGACAGCCTCTTTGAAAGTCAGTCAACTAGGGGCAGACTCATGCCAATGCACAGGCTTCCAAGGCTGGTGGCAGTCCAGTCCTGCCTTCGTCATTAGCACAAACCATACTTCTAAGGCTGACATCACCTAATGCTGCCTCTGTCACCAACATAACCCAAACAGGCTCTTTCTCAAAACTCAACATAAGACTAGCAGCTTGCTTTGCTCAACAAGACTGCCTGAACGGCACAGCAATTCCTTACTTAAGTATGCAATCAATTCAGCTTTTGGATTTCAAATATTAAGTGATAACTTCCATTCTTTGTTCAACACATTCATTCATTCAGGCCCTGTTCTAGGTGCTAGGGATACCGCAGTGAACAGGACAGGCCAAGAAACCTGTTCAACTGTGTAAAGCTTATATTCTAGAGAGGACATACAGACAGACACAAGCCAACCTAAGTCCACAAAATACAGATTCCATCTAGTGGTTGTAAGTATGAAGGGAGGAAAATAAAGGGGGCTCAGGTGGGTGCAGAGGTGGGTGGGGCTGTTGCTCTGGGTGGGGTGGTCCAGGCAGGCCTCATGGAGCAGGCAGATATACACAGAAAGGGAGAAGGCAGGAGTGCTGGGGAGAGCCCTGCTGGGGGAGAGTGGAAGGTGGGGAGGCTGGCTGGTAGATGCCATTGGGCCATTCTGAGAACTGTGGCTGTGATTCTGAGTGAAATGAAGAGTCACATGACGGCTCTGAGCCTTTTTGAGAGTGACAGTCTAACTTCCATTTAAAAGGTTCACTCCAAGAAAGAAAGAAAAAAAAGACAAAAACAAAAATAAAATAAAAAAAGAAGAGGCTCACTCTGGCTGTCCTGGGGACATCAGAGTGTGGCAGGGCAATGACCTGGAGAGTGGATTACAGGAGGGCAGGCACACAGCCCCGGCACCCGGACAGGGCCTGGCACACAGCAGTATCAACAGGTGTCTGGGGAACCAGCAAACATGGGAGCATCCAGAACCCAGCCTAGAGGCGCTCCCGTGCCCAGAGCATGTCAGCAGGGGGCGCATGAACAGTGGCCTTTCTAGGAGGCATTGCCATCCCTCCCCCACACAACCGTGGGGCTGGACAAGTGGAGCGTTTGCAAGGACAGGTGTGTGTCCCCCACTCCAGCTCCCTCAGCAGGACAAGCAGAAACTGGGTGAGGAGAGGCCTCCACATCCACTCCCTCCACACTTCCAGCCCCTCCGGTGCCCATGGCCTGGGCTGTGCACTGACTCCCACATCTCCTCCTCTGTGCTCCCCTCCAAGCCGCAGGTCCCTGTTTCTGCTCTGTCACCTGCGAGCCCTTCCTCTCCTGCAAGCTCTCAGTAACCTCTGACCCCTTCGGGGTCTAGAAGAGGCGCTGCCCTGCTCACCTCACCACCTCGGAAGAGCCGCTGACCCTCCCGGCCAAGCCCAGGTGGAGGGGAGCAGCCAGCATGGGCAGCCACTCACCCATACAGTCCTTCCTGTTCCAGTGGAGCCGCCTCCCCGGTGGGCAGACACACTCGTAGCTGCCTTTGGTGTTGACGCAGCCCTGGTCACAGCTCCCGTTGTTCATGCTGCACTCGTCCACATCTGCAGGCACAGGTGAGCGTAAGGGCAGGGGGGGAGGCTGGCAGGACAGAGGACGACCAGGGCAAGAGAATCTCCTGACCCAGCCCAGACTAACACCATCACGGGATGCAGACAGGTAGCTGCACACACATCACACACACACGTGTGCACGCATGGGTGTATACGGCTCTGCACAGACACCAACACACACCCCTTCCCCCAGGAACCTCATCAGTTTTCTCAAGCAGCTGTACCCAGGCTGTGGGGGTGGGCAGAGGAGGAGGCCACGATTAAAGTTACAATCCAACCAAGCCCCATGCAGCAGAGAATCCAGCGACTGTGAGGCTTGCTCTCACTGCGGGGTCTGGACAAGCCCCTTTGCAACCTGTCCCCCTCCTGCAGAATAGGCACCAGTGTGAAAGAAGACACCTCCAAGCCTCCTCTGACCAAAAGCATCCATGGGGATGGGAAGAAATGACTGGGCCCTCACACTGCCTGCGGGCTGCTTGCATGCCAGGGGGTGGCCGACCAGGAAAGTGGTGCCCACGTTTTTGGAGAGTCTTTCCAGAATAATCTGTCACCCACCTCCAGGAGCCACTCCCATGCCAGCTGGGCCCCAGCCACTGCATTGCCTGACCCCATCCGATCTTCAGGCTGCCCAGCATAGCGAGTGTAACTACCCACATCTCACAGAAAAGGAAGAGACACCAGAGCCATCCTTGGGTTCCCCACCTTCTCCCACCATGCCTGGATTATGCCAAGTCCCATCAGCTCAGTTCTGGCTCCCACATATAGACCCATCCCCTTCTTACCATCCCTGCCCACCCTGGTCCAGCTCTGGCAGCTTGTGCTCCCAGGCCCAGAACTGTCTCCCACTATACCCTGGATTCCACACTTCTGTCCACATGGCAGCTACAGTATCTTGTTATGTGAATGTGGCCATATTGTACCCCTGCTCAGACCCTCCAGTGGTTTCTCATCTCACTAGGAAGAAAACCCCAAGTCCCCTCTGGCTCATGAAGCCCTGCATCTTCCAACCATGTTCCCTTCTCCCATGGGCTCCAGTCATGTGGCTGTTTCTTGGTCCTCTGCCTCAGCACCTTCTCGTGCTGATCCCTTGGAATGTGTTCTCCTCTTGACCCAAACGTTCCTCCTTTCGGATCCCCCACTGTCTCAGTACTCTGCTCTTCTCTCCCATTGGAACAAACTGTGGGATTTTCCATATTGGCCATCCCCCTTCTGACCCAGGACTCTCTGGTGTGATTTCTAGATTCATGCCCACAACCCAGCCAAGGCCTAGCACCCAGTAGATACCTACTGCCCCCTCCGTTCCCCCCATCCCTCGTCTCCCCACCCCCACCTTGCTCTTGGCTGAGCCCCTCTGTCCAGCAGTCCCCAGCCTTGCTGAGGTCCCAGGCCCACCAGGGTTGAGGGCAGGGTTGGGATGTGGGGTGCAGTGTAGGTGGCCGTGTGGCCAGGCGCGTGCCTCGGGGGGGAGGTGGCCCTGATGGGCAGGCTGCAGACCTCCGCAGTGGGTCATCCCGTAGAGTGTGTAGCCACGGTGACAGAGGCACTGGAAGCTGCCTGGGGAGTTGACGCAGATGTGGTCGCAGGTCCGCTCGAAGGAGCACTCGTCGATGTCTGTGTGGCCACAGGGAGACACAGTCTGTTACTCTAGACACTCAATGTACATCCATGCACACATAGTGCCTGGGCCCCGAGGTGCAATATGGCACTGCCCACAGGCCACATTAGAGTATTGTTGCTCAATTTTCCCTTTTGTCTTCACTGACCTACTTCAGGGCTAGAAGCCACCTGATGTTTTGTGAACAGGGTAGAAATATTTAGAACAGAAGGGGTTATTATGAATCTCTGCCATTTTAATATCTTATACTCATCTGGATTACGAGAGATACTCAATCCGCACCTGCAGGAAACTGACTGGGGCTTGACCTCAGGCCCTGCACAAATGCTGACCGGGGACAGGAACCTGTGCCCCCTAGATGCTGACCAAAGCATGTTTTCCCAACACCCCAAGATGTTTCTTGAGAAATAAGGAAAACAGCACGAATAGAAAGGGAGGATGGGGAAATATGTCATACATAAAGCTTGACAGTATGTGAAATTTGATTATGAGCTTCCTGGCAGGCAAGGGAAGAGAAAAGAGGGAGGGTCACAGAGTGCTTGGTCCTAGAAAGGAGGAAATAAGCCACATGCTGATAGGAGATAAGTCTGTCCTAGCCATTAATCCTGAGGAATGGCTCCCATGGTACAGCTCATGAAGGACCCAAGGGAAAACCAGACACCGACCTGACCCAATCCTCCCAGGAAGTGATCCTCCCAGGACACAGTAGTGAGGAGTCCATTCTTTAAATACATTATTAGCTCATGTGACTTCATGCATATTCATAATACATGCATGTTTATGAAAACACTAATATAAGTAAGGAATTGTGCTGCAGATGCTAAAAGAAGAACGTGACCTTCATAGGGGGACCTGGGAAGACCTCCTGGTACTTATGGTACCTGGGCTAGAGCTTGAAGGATGAGCCAGCTTGGGAGGATGAGCCAGCTTGGGAGGAGTGTGGAGGAAGGGCACCCAGGTAAAGGCTGGGAGGTGGGAGCCCGGGGACGCCCAGGGATTGTGTGGAGCTCAAAAGGGATCAGGAGGTATCCAAGGTCCCCATCCTGAGGGCCCTGAGTGCTAGACAAAGGAGCTTGGACCTTCCCACTGGACCTGGGAGCACAGAGCCCCAGGGTCTCGGAGACATGAGCCTGGGAGAGGGTGGAGAAGACATAGGTGGGGGTGGGCAGGTGAGGGCAGAGCCCTGGCTCAGAGCCCAGAAGCAGATGTGCTGTCTCACCTCCTCCTTGGTAGCTGCCCCCCTCTCTTGGGGACAGCTGGGGAGGCAAAGTCAAGGGCCCCCCCAGAGCCCTCTGTAGAACTTGGCAGGTCTGACTGAGAAAGTCCAAGTCAGAGAACCCTAAGGGAGCCTGGACACATGCTATGCTCCCAACCGGCCCTCATGTCCTGAGAGAACAGGGCCAGGGTGCTCGTCCAGGGACAAATGGCTGACCCTGAACAGGGGAAGTGACCAGTCCAGCCTGTGCAGGAAGCCTGAGCACGGCTGGCCCTGAACCCTCCTCAGCCACCCTCACCCTCTCCTTCCTCAGGGCCCCTGGGGGAATATCCCTTGCCCCTTAGGGTCTCATGCTGCCCCCATGTCAGCCTCTGAGCTGCACCGACAGGCAGAATTTGCAAGTCCCAGACCCAGACCCAGCCACTGCCTACAACTCCCAGTACCCTCAGGAACCAAGCCACTGGAATGCAGCAGAATAGTCAGTGAGGAAATAAGCCCTTCCCTGCTACACGGGACACCCTGTGCCCTCTCTGTTCTTTCTCCCAAAGCTGGTTCCACAGGGCACCTATCTCCTACCTAATGGCCTCATCCAGCCCCACCGGACAACCTATGGTCCCTCAAGCCTCCTCAGCCAAACAGCATCATCTCCTGGGTGGGTTTACCTCCCTGGTCCCTCAGGAAAAGGCCTACTAATCCTTTTAGCATTTCACCAAAGAACCCTCCCCAGGAAGTCTTCCTTGACCATGCCTCTCCACCATCCATCCTCTGGGCTTCCATTGTGCCGTGGACTCTGCTGGATTTATCCTGGGCTGTGATTCTTGGCTTCTGTTCAGACCTCTTCTCCCAATATCCTTGTTTCTAGCAGGTGCCTGACCCCTCGGACTGTTAGAGAGCGCCTGCCTGCAATGTGCAACATCTTCCACCAGGTGGCAGCACCACCACCGAAGTCAGAGTGGTTCCAAAACTGAAGGGGTCCCGGGGCCGCTCAGGAGACGGAGGGTGGAATGGAGCTGATGAGCTTGGCCACCTGGGACCAGTGCTGATCTGGGACCAGTGCTGATCTCTCCCGGAGCCTCAGCTTCCCATATACAAAAGGGACAGACTGGACCGGATGGCCCCTACTGTCAAAGGACAGGGAAGGTGGGTGGGCAGGAGAGTGGACTGGACCCAGACACACTCATTTCCTTTCCCAGAAGCCTGTGGAAGCCCAGGAGGAGAAGGGGAATTGACCCTGCTGGGACCTGGCAGGATGGGGGTGACCCAGGACCCACGGGCTGCCCAGGGCATAGAGGGGGCTCACCCTGGCACGTTCGCTCGTCGGTCAGTAGCTTGTAGCCCTTCCGGCAGCCACACTCGAAGCTGCCCACAGTGTTGCGGCAGAAGTGGTCGCAGCCTCCGTTGTTGACCAGGCACTCGTTGATGTCTGCAGGAGCCAAGGGGGAGGGGGTGAGGCCAGGAGAATGAGCTGATGGTGGGGAGGGGGCGATGGGCCAGCAGTGGGGATGGCATTGCCTTGACTTGCCTACCACCTGGTGCCCAGGGCTGGCTTCTGGTTCCCCAGCTGAGCACGGGTGGCGGGGGAGGACTGTTTACAGGGGTGGGGTCAGGGGCTGGGTTATACTGCAAAGGTCCAGCTCCCCAAGCTTCACTGCTACCCTGAGACTTGACAAGCCTGGCATTCACAACACAGAACAGAGAGGAACACCTATCTGCAGTGCCAGGAAAGACAGCAGGGATAATGATGACTCCTATGCCCCTTTTTTTTGTAGAGATGGGGTCTTGATATGTTGCCCAGGCTAGTCTCAAACTCCTAGCTCAAGCAATTCTCCCACCTTAGTCTCTCAAAGCGCTGGGATTACAGGTGTGAGCCACTGTGCCTGGGCCCACACATTCAGGGAGGCAGCCTGGATGGCAGGAGGCTGGAGCAGGCAGGTACCACTGCTGGCGACCTTGGGCAAGCTATCAGAGCCCTGAGCTTTGGCCTCCTGCCTGCAAGCAGGGACAGAAGTGCACCCATGCCAAAGGATATCACATGCCTAAGGTGCCAGCGCTTAGTCAGTACTCAATAAACTTTTTAAAAAAGTAGGTCGTACTGCCCCTGTTTAACTGAGGAGGAGACCAAGGCTTAGAAAGCTGAAGTACCCGGTACAAGAGGCTACAGCAAGTAAGTGGGAAGCTGGGCTGTGTACCTGAACCTGCCTGACTCCCCACTTGGAGTTATTTCTTCACTCAGCAATGAATGAGTTGTAGCTAGGTTACCTGCCCCAATACCATGTAATAAATGATACCCTCCTGAGCAGCCTTGCTAGTCAGCCTCTGCTTGCATACCTCCAATGACAGCTTTCTCCCTCACAACATGGTCTGCTGGCTAATGCATCTTGGACTTTTTCTTGCCCTGAGCACAGCCCTGACCCCTGGATCCCCCTATCCCTCATCTATTGTCCCACTCAGCTGGGCTTCCCTCTTGGGCCCCAGACAAGCCTGTGTCATCATTCTGTGTCATCAGAGGTCCTGACCCTGAGGGACCTCTTCTCCAGGGGACACGGTCCCAGCTACTCTTCTTGGGCTCCGGCCTCCAGGCTCCCATATTGGTCACAACTCCAGACATGACCCAGAAATTAGTACCAATAGTCAGGGGTGACTTTTAGGATGGTGGGCTCACCCTGATCTGGAGGAGCAGAAAGGAAATGATGGAAGAGGCCCTCCCAGCAAGGAAAATGGAGAGTGTCCCTGCGCTGGTTGCCGACCACATCTTGGCAGAACTGCCAGACGCAGATCCCAGCACCTGCTGAGCCTGTCCTGAGCAGGGATGCTGGGCCAGTGCCTGGAAGCCCCTGTCTTGTATAGCTGGTACCGCCCATTTTACAGATGGGGCGCTGAGCCCATAGAGGTGGCTTGTTCCTGTCATGGCGACTCTATACTTGGGCTGGGCTGCTCCCCATGCTGTTCTAAACCTAACAGGCTGGACTGGATCCCTGCCCCAAAGTCCTACCACAGTTCCCATGGAATGTTCCCCAACAATGACTAAACAAAAGCCTGGTATCTGGTCAAGTCACTAGAGGAGTGTGGTTAAAGACAGCGAGGCTGAGGTGCCCGTGCAGTTCTCCAGGAGCCTCTGGGAGATGAGTGTGGCACGTGATTTCTGGCAACATCTCACATGACCTTCAAAACAACCGGGAAAGCAGAGCTCTCAGTTTATAGGCGAGGCCACATGCAGGATCTCAGCCAGTACTGTCTGTCTCTGATGATGGGCCTTGTTCAGCACATCACACTGGCCCTGAGGGCACCAGAGAAACGTGGCCTGGTCCAGGGCTGAGGCTTGGGCATCTCCATCATCCTCCTCCCCTCCCACTCCCAGGATTACAGAAAGAGAGGGAATGTCCAGTCAAAGCCTCAGGCAGGAGAACGGAGGCTCATCTCAGCTTTGCCTTGGCCTACCATGTGATCGGGGGCAGGGAGAGGCACCTCTCTGAGCCTCATATTCCCGTCTGCTGCTGAATGACTCCTCTCTCAGCATCCCTAGCAAGAGTCAATGAGCTAAGGCTGCAAGCAGACAGGGCTGCCACATGATCATTAGCAAGACTCCTATGTCCTCAGTAAAGCCTCGAACCTTCCGGAATGTCCCAACCCCATCTGCTTCCTCATCTGAGCCTGTACTCTAAGGGGCTGTCATAGCAACCAGACAGGCAGAGGGAGGCATGTTTGCTTGAGGCCCAGGCTAGAGTCGTGGCTGCCTAGGGGTCTCAGTGGGGGAAGCCTCTCCCCAAACCCTCTGCTCTACCCGGGATATAGTGAGGGGATGCTGGGCTCACGTGGCCCCTCGACCTCCGTTCCCAGGGTGCAGTGTCTGCCCCCTCTCTACTTCTCCTCCTCCACTGGCTCCCACCCTGCCTTCACCAAGTAGCCAGCACAATCTTCCATGTGCGAATCTGGCTGACCCCTACCTGGTGCCAAGTCTTCTGAGGCTCCTAGGTCCCCTAGCATGAAGGCCAGAGGCTCACAGCCTCCCCTTCCAGCCTGGACCTCGCTGCCTTGCCTCCTCTTTTCTGCCTGCTTGGCTCCTGCCTCAACAGCCCAGACTCTGGTCACCAACTCAGCACAGCTGCAGACCACCTCTTACCTGCCTACCTCTGCAGGGAGGGCCTACACTGCCCAGGGAAACGCTGCCCTCTGGGAAGCCTTTCCTGATGTTCTCTCCAGAGCTAGCAGCTCCCTTGTCACAGGACCAGCCCTTGGGGGCATGAGAGGGCCTTAGGAGGACAGACATGAGGATATCTGCTCCTGCCTGGTGCCCCAGATCCAGTATGAGAGGCCACCTAGGAATGTTCACTGAATGAATGAGTCCGAGTGACCCCAGACAATGGCGAAGACCTGGGGGCTGAGAGAGGGTGGGGTCTCTGGCCATCAAGTGGACACTGGTTGCGCCGCCCAGTGTTGCAGCACAAGCACATGTAGCGGGGGCCCAGGGTGATGGGGCAGGCTGAAGAAACACAGGACAATTGTTCCTGCTCATTCCTGCCCATCCCACCGAGGGGCACAGTCTGGCAATCTGGGGGTACCACGTGGCGAGGGCTTGAGTGCGAGCAGAGGGAGGGCATGGGGTGTGGTCTGGCCTCAATCTGGAGCACTTAGCAGGGAGGGTCACTGCCGGGCTGGGCCGGCCAGGTGGAGGGCATGCAAGGGCGCTGTTGGCCCCACTCAGGTAAAGGCCCTGGCAGGTTACCTGCCTGTACCAGGACACTGGGGAGGGAGGAGAGGGCATGACAGCGGGTGGGGTTCTCCCAGACTGCTCTGGAAGGTGTTGGGAAGTAAGGCTGGTGTCCCTGAGGGAAATCCAGACTTCACTTCAGGGAGTTGGGCCCAGGCCTTCCTTCCTGTCATCAGAAGGCTTAATCGGCAGGATGTTGCCTTCCAATACCAAGCAAGGCGCAGCATCTAACAGGGAACCCTGAGACCAGGGCTTGGAGCAAACCCTCCAGACCCCCACATCTCCATGTTTAGGCAAAACACCCCACTGTCCCACCCCTGTCTCTACCTGTCCATGTGATCCCTGCCTGCCCAGGGTATTCACCTCCAGGTTTTCCAAGCCCTCTCTGTTACCTTCACCCTTTAGCCACCCGTCTTGCCCCCAGTGACTTTTTGGCTTCCAGAAAACACCGAGCCTTTGAAATCACTCCTTTGACATCCTTTCCTGGACCCTTTCCAAGATCAGGGTGTGCATCCTGATAGGAAGCCAAAGCCTCGGGGCCAGGGCCTCAGGTTGCAGCAATTCCCCTGCCTACACCTCTCCAGCCAGAGCCAGAGAACACTAAAGGCACCAACCTTGGAGTCTGGAGGTCACCCTCTGTTTCTCAGGCTTTCTGACTTGAAGGCATTTCATATGAGGCAGTTCTAGACCAGTCCCCTGACGTTTAAATTCGAACATCCATGGACATATTGAGACTCTGCTCTCTCCCCATCTGCTGCCAGCCCTGACCCCATCACTGCCCTCTCAAGCCTGGGTGACAGAGGCCATGCCTAGCTGCTCTTCCAGACCCTGCTCAGAGGCTGCTACCCCGCACTGGCCATGAACTGGTTCAAAATAAAAAGCTGGGCCTGAGCCCCGTGTGGACAGTTCTCCTTGGTACCTCCCACCCCCAGAAATGGAAAAGGGGGGGAGGAGTGCCCCTTGGGTACTGAGGGATGGGCAGTGGGCAAGGGGCAGCAGTGGGAGTCCCCTTGCCCAGATGCTTCCTCTTGGGCCACATGACTGCCCAGGCCCCTCCTTTCCAGCCCAGGCGGGGTGGCTCCAGGCCTCCAGGGCAGGGCCTGGCCAAGGTAGGCAGGATGAAGGCCCGTCCCTTGCCCTGGCAGCCCAGGTCCCACACTGCTTGGACCAGTTCCTTTGCATCCTTCCCAGACCCAGGGTCCTTGAATCCATAGGTCTCTGAGGGCAGTCTCAGCTCTGGAAATGCTGCCCCGAGATCACCTGATGAAGGCTGCTTCCCCCTCAGCCCTCTCAATGCTCTCCTCAGCCTCCCCCAGCCTAGGCCCATCCCTTACTTGCCACCGTACCATACTTCTCTCTCCCACACCAAGTGCTCTGTAGTACATGTTTATCTTAGTGATTTTGGAAATCAGAAGTTATCTTTTACACTCAAAAGACAATCCCTGCAGGCAGAAAACATTTGTTTTATTCACCTGTCTCCCTAGAACCTGTACACAGTAGGGGCCCAGAAAATCCATCTGTTAAATAAGACAACCTCTTGACTTCACACTAGCATGGCCAGGCCCCAAGGATTCGAACCACAGCAGCAGGCGAGGGATCAGTGTCCATGGACAGGGTTTCTGAGCAGAGGAAGCCCACCCCAGTTGTTTCAAGAAGACTTTGTTCAAGGAGAGCCACGGGAAATGTGCTGATGGTGGGATGGGGTGGGGGGGTGTCTCAGACTGGTGGGCTTGGGGTTGTGTGGACAGCTCTCCTTGGCAGCCCCCACCCCCAGGAATGGAGAGGGAGGGGGATGAGTGCTCCAGTGGGCTGTGGGTAGTAGTGGGAGCCCCTCTCCTGTGGCTCCCTCTTGGGTCACGTGATTGCCCAGGCACCTTTCTGACCCAGACAGGCTGGCTCCCAGCCTCCGCTCCCCATTCCTGGCAGCCCTGGCCTCACCTCAGGAGTTGAGCCTTGCCCTGCCCTGCCCCTATGGCCCTCTGAAGGCAAGTATCCAGATCTGTGCTTTTTCAGTCAGTCATGCCTGGTATCAAGTCCATGTGGTGAGGACTCAGATGCCACCCACCTGCCCACTTGCCTGCCAGGGACGCACCAAGGCTATTAACAGGCTGAGCAGTGGTTACAGAAGGGCTTTATTTTCAAATAAACAGGTGGAAGAACTGTTATTTCTGTCAATAATCACTGGGTTCTTCCCAGCAAGTTGGCAAGAAAGAAGTCATATGCTGTCTGTTTATTTTTACAGGCTTAAAAAAAGTCCACCTCAAACTATTTTAAATCACCCTAACTCCGCTTCCAGTATTTTCACGGACTGGACTTTGGAAGCTCTAGTTTCTCTCCCCTCCATAGCCTGCCCTCCAGGAACCCCCTCCTGGCAAGATGGGAGAGGAATGGCTGCAGTTGAAAGGGGTCTGAAGGCACAGGGGGAGCGCAGAGAGGCTGCACCCCACCCTTCTGATGCGCTGCCCTGAGGGCCTGTGGCTTCTCCGGGTTCTGTCCCTTGCGAGGTGGCTGGTCTTCCCCACTGCAGGGCTGGCCTATTCCTTCCCTAACAACTGTCCCTAGAGCTCAGCCAGTTCCCCTCTTCCAAGCTTTCCAGGTTTCTTGCCTCCAGAGGGTCTCCCTCACCCCAGGGAGCATTCAGTGACTCTTTGTGGGATGAATTAGGGACGGGTGGGAAGACAAACCTCTACCTCTCTCATTGCCAGCTGCTGGCCAGCCAGCCCTTCCCTCCTTGCAAGCATTCCAGATTCTCTCGCCTCCTCATCTTCCAATGGCAAGCAGAAGTCCCTGTGCTTTCAGTCAATGTCCCCTCAACCTTGCTCCTCCAGTGACTTCAGTCAATATCCCCTCAACCTTGCTCCTCCAGTGACAGTGACACAGTGTCCTTATTTTCCCCAATATGAGTGGACCTGCACTTGCCAAAAGGTCCTCGGTCAGACTGTCCCGCAGTTCCGTGAGACCTATTGCAACTAAGGGTGGAGTGGTTAGGAAATGTGTTACACTCCACTTCTCTTGGGAAGTCAGTGAGTCACTTAAGCCCCAAGAAGTTCTGCAGTAAAATCACTGGTTAAACTGTGTAACCCAGCTGGGTGCGGAGGCTCATATCTGTAATCCCAGCACTTTGAGAGGTCAAGGTGAGAGGATTGCTTGAACTCAGGAGTTCGAGACTAGCCTAGGCAACATAGTGAAACCTCGACTTCGTCTCCACAAAATCAAAAAATTAGCCAGGTGTGGTGGTGCATGCCTGTAGTCCCAGTTATTCAGGAGGCTGAGGCAGAAGGATTGTCTGAGCCCAGGAGGTTGAGGGTGCAGTGAGCCATGATTGTGCCACTGCACTCCAGGCTGGGCAATAGAGAACTTGACTCAATTAAAAAAACAAAACAAAACGTGTAACCCAGTGTGCAAACCAAGTTATCTGACATCAGCATATCTTTGGCCCAGGACCCTACTGATGGGCCCTGGAACCATGTCTTGAACCCTGCTGCTGGTTGACTCTCCCTCTCCTTGGATTCTCCAACAGCAACACAGGTAACTGCTGAGTGCCCCTTCCTGCAGCCACGTGTGCCCCGCGAAGCCCAGAGCTGGGCCCATCTGTGCCAGTGCTCATGCCCACCCTGCTTGGGCCAGGTGAGCACAGGCAGGGGCATGCCTGCATGGCATCATGTGCTGACCTTTGCATGTCTTCCCATCTGGCTGCAGCATGAATCCGACTGGGCAGCTGCATCGCACGCCGGTGGCCGTGTCCTTGCACGTCCGGTCGCAGCCTCCGTTATTTACCGCACATGTCTCTGGGGAAGGAAAGAGACAGAGATCTCAGTTGCTTCAGGCAGAGGCTACCATCTTTCCCCATCCGTGGGGAGATCTGTAAGACTGGACTCCCCCAGCTGTGGGAGAGCTGCGCTGTCTCCCTGAGCCTCAGGATGCCATCTATAAAATGGGAGAATGACAGCAGTCCTGTGGGGATGCTGGCAAGGACCCAACGTGATGAGGGAAGGCAGACTGCAGAGGGTTGGGCCTGTTCAAAGGCTACTGCCAGCAGGGTGAAATTGCTGTCTGGGTGTCTGGGGCCAATGCTGAGATAGGCCTGGCTGGCACTTAACTGCCCAGGGCCAGAGTCCTAAGCCTTCACCCTGCCTGAACTCAGACTCCAAGTCCAGACTGGTGGTAACCAGGAGGAGACAGGGCCTCCCAAACTCATCTCTGGACTGAGTGGCTTGTGGCCCTGGCTGTTGAGTCACCGGGGGCGGTTCTCAGGGCCTGCATACCATCCATCACCTTGATGAGGCTCTCAGCCCAACATCTGTTCTCACTGAACGATAAGCCAAAGGCATCTGGTTTTCGTCCACCTGAGGCTTGTCTAGTGCTTTTTCTTTCTTTTGCAAAATTCAAAGGGGCTAGAGTGGCTGGGGGCATAACTGAGGTCACCAAAGCTGTCCTATGGTGAGAGTGATCCTCCCCAGGCCTGAAGAAGGGGCTGGCAGAGACGGCTCACCAGGGCGTGGGGGCTCCCCCGGAGGAGCCGCTCTCCCAGACCGCCAGTCCTTGCCACCTGGGTCTCCTCCCAAGCATTTGGCAGGCTTATATCTCGAGTGGGCTTCCCTCTCGTCTTGCTGCTAGCGAGTGGAGCCCATGGGCACCCATCTCTCATCACCTGACCCTGCTGCCTGCCTTTCTGTGGCTCCACCTGGGCACCTGGCCCTGTGTGCCTTCTCCCCAAAGGGTCTCCCTAATTGGTTTACTCTGTTAGTGTCCAGCCTTCTGTGGTGTCTGCATTTCTGAAGCTGTCTTCAGAGGAGTCGAAGGACTGATGTAGGAGTGAATGAATAATGCATGTATACCTTCAGCTGTTAGGAGCCCCTGCTGCCAATTAAATCAAGTTCGTGGTGCCTTTCCTCTGAACTTCACCTGGGTGGGAGCGTCCAGGGGAGAAGGAAACCTGACATTCCCCTCTGTGAGTGTGCGTGATTCTGCAAGGCCTGGCGGTGGTTGTCGTCTTGCCGCAGGATCCACCCACGTTCCTTGTCATGGCCGAGGTCTTCACCATCACAGGATGAGCTGTAGCTACTACTGGAAGGTGAGTTTCCCTAACCTGGACACACTTCTTGCCCCTGCAAATCTTAACTTCCAGTTGGGAATGGGGAGTTTCTGTGAGCCAGTCTCATACCTTCCCACCTCCCTTCCTCTACAATGTGCTTATCCAGGGGCTTGGAGGCCTCCTTCCTGCTCATGCTCTAAGGCCTAGCCAGAGCCTACCTCCACAAGGACCTCACTGTAGCCCCAGACACAGAAGAAAGGTGCTGCCTGCCCCTGTACTTGTGCAGCTGGTCATGCCCTGAGTGACCATGCTGCTGCCCTCTCATCCCTCTGCTGGACCAGTCATTGGGGCAGTGGAGGTGAGCAGGCTGGTGTATGAATCTTGGCTCTGTCACCCATGGAGTGACCCAGGCAGGCCACCCCTTTGGGGCTGCACCTCAGCATCCACACCTAGGCAATGAGGACAAGTCTTCCTTCCTCGGGCTGAAGTGAGGATCAGATAAACTCCCTGCTTGAAAGCACTTGGCCGAGGTCCTGGCTCATAGTAGGTGCTCAACTGTTAGTTTCCTCTCCTGACCTGACAACCACAGGGGGAAATCCTGCCTCCCACCCCCAAGTCAAGGAATCAATGTACTCCCCCATCTGCCTTTTTAGCCTTTCCTGTGAAAACCCTCTCTGGAGAGAAGGTACAGACAGTGCCTGTTTTCCAGGTAGAGGTAATTAAGGCTCAGGCTTAGAGAGGGTCTAGAGGGTGAGAATGGGGGTGGGGGGGATAGGTGCTGAGTGCTGGGGCACTGGGCTTCCCTGTGGAGGTAGAGGGGGGTGGGGGGCAGGCACTGAGGGCTGTGTCCCTGATGGAACTTGGAACCTCTACCTTCTAGAGCCAGGAGCTTCAAGGATCTGCAGCCCTCCTCCTGCCCACTGGGCAGACTTAGGCTGAGAGAGGGGCTGGCGCCCACCTGAATGGTCACCTGCTCTCTGGACCCCCAATGCAGGACCCTCTCTCCTGCACCATGCAGTTTCAGTCTCCCTGTGTTGCTCCAGTTCGTGACTGGTGTGTAAACTTCAGGCTTTGAGTGCGGGGTTCAGAATCCCTGGTCCCCCAGGAGAGCCCTGTGGGCTGCTCTTGGGTGCTAACCATACCACCCCACAGTGCCTCATTGTGGCAGTTACCACATGCCAGGCCCTACCCTGCCTGCCATGTCTCATACCCCCACTCTACAGCTCCAATGCCCTGCACTTGCCTGACGAGGAACTGGTGCAGAGCATCAGGGACTCAGTCCAAGGCTGCGCAGACCAAGTGGCAGAACCAGATGGGATCTGCTGCATCTAACTCTAATGCCCACAGTTCCCTGAGGGCAGTGGCCCACCTGAAGCTCCAGGGCCCTGCAACCAAGCATGTGCCTGATGGCCACGGGCACTTGACTCTTCATCTTCCTCCCTTAACAGCTTCTCCCCCAGTCTCCAGGAATGCTATCCCTATCTGCTCCAAGCTGATCCCAGGAGCCCGCCTCCCTCCACCCCACCACCACAGGGCCCAGGGCCTGGTCTTGTTGATTCCTTAGCATCTACCAACTCCACCCCCTGCTCTTATTGCTGCCCTTTTGGGCCAGGCCACCTCTATCCTATGTGATCATCACAGACCCCAAGGGCCCCTCCTCCAGGCCACTGTCTCACACTGGGCTGGGTACATGTAACAACACCAAGGGTCAATGCTCCCCAGGACACTGTGTCAGACACTGTGCCAGGCTGGGAGGGGTGAGCAGAGACAGCAGCTCTGCATTCAGCCTGTGCTCCCTCCTGCTGTGGGACCATGAGCAGCCTGCAGTCTCTCGCCTGGGCCTCTGTCTCTCCTCTACAACACAAGGATGGCAGTTTCTGCCATGCCCATGCCAGTTGTATTGTTCTGAGGCCAATTCACTACAAAATGCAATACACACGGGGAGAGCAGCAATGCCATCTAATGAGGTCCTTCGGGCTGAAGTGGGGGTAGAGGATGGAAGGCTACAATGACAGGACAGGTTGGACCAAGCAGAGACCCTGGATGCTGCTGAGGAGGCCCCCTTGCCTTCAATGGCAACCAGCCTGGGCATCACCCCGCCCCCATAACAGAGTGCCTCAAAAAGCAGCCTCACCTCTGTCCCTCAAGACCAGAGGCCACCCAGACCAGTTATTAGGCCATTGCTGTGTCAGAGAGATTAAGAAAACAGACAGGCCTATCCTATCCCTACAGCAGGTGACTTTAATGACAGGGTCAGCCCAAATGCAAGCAGCAAATGTGACCTGGATGCTACAGTAGCAGCATCTCCGCCCTGAGGGGAGAGAAGGGGAGTGGGCTCTGGGCCTCCCTCCTTCTCACTTCAGTGGCTTTTGCTGGATCCCATCCCAATCCTCACCCCCTCCCAGGGGCCAAGGACAGTGTGGCTCTGCAGGCCTGCCCCGTGAGTTACACTCCCCAGAAACACTCGGGAAGGACAATGCCACCAGAGCTTGGGTAAAGGGAAGGGAAAGAGTGCCAAGCTCAGACTCAAAGAGCTCCGTCCCAGGGATCTGAAGAAAGACTTTCCTTTAGGGATCTGGGAATCCTCTAGTCTCTGTCCCAGCTTTTAGAAGGCACTACTGGCGTTCTTTGTGAAGCTTTCCCTCTCTACCTGAAGAAATGGTTGGAACAAAACCTCCCACAGCACAGCCCTCTGGTGAGGACAAAGCACCTTCTCATCTGCTAACCTCAACAGGCCTGACAGAGGGCATGAAAGCATGAAAGTAGAGAGGGAACTGAGGCTCAGAGAAGTAACATGTCCGGACAGGACTGGCTACATAATCTGTAGGACCCAGTATGAAATAAAAATGAAGTGCCTTTGTTAAAACATTGTTAAGAATTGCAGAGACAGCACAACATTGAACTGATCATGGGTCCTTCTGAGGGCGGGGTCCTGGGCCACTGCATAGGTTGTATATCCATGAAGCTGGCCCTGTGTCCAGGTCACATGGCTCTTGGGAGGAGCCAGTATTTGAACCCATGGCCATGACACTCGAGGCTGATGAGAGAATCAGACCAGGTCAGAGAGCTGGGCCGTCTACAGGGGATCCTCAGGGCAGCTCATGGTGAGGCTGCAGAGCTGGTGGCCAGGGGCAGATTATGACTACACCTCTGGTGCCTTGGTTTCCTCATCCAGTCAGCGGGGAGAACCGTCTTACCCCACAGGGCTAGAGCGGCAAGGGGAGCGGAGGCTAGGCATGGGTCTGGCTCGGCTCTGAAGTGTGAGGGGAAAACCTCAGGCCAGTTAAAAGGCCCAGGTTTTGGTCTTTCCCTGGGAGAGTTCCTGCTTTGGGCCAGGTCCTGTAGGGAGGAAAGATGTTCCACTGGGCCCTGCGGCAGCTTGGTCAGGGCTCTGACAAGGAAGTGGGCGAAGGACAGGAGGGCCTGGGTATAGCCGCCTCTGGCTTGGCACTGCCTGCCCGTAGCACCCTAGGTCTGGGGCAGGATCCAGCAAGGTCCTTAAAGGGCAGTCTCAACAACAATGTAGTGAATAAAACATGAGCCACGGAATCAGAAAAACAGGGTTCCACAGGCCGACTGCGTGAGCTTGGGCAAGTCCTTTTGCTTCTTGAGTCTGTTTCCCACGTGTAATATGGAGATGACAAGGCCCAGACAAAACAGTAGATGTGGCAGTTCTTTGTAAACTGTTCTGTGACCGTGACACAACATGCTCACTCTTGGTGCCATTTCTTAGAACCTCTGTATATAGTCTTA